TGCATTTCATGGGTCGTCAACCAGACAGCCACGTGTGGAATGGTGTTTGATGTTTCGGGATTGTGGAGGAGGGGGTCTGGATTTGGGGGGAGGGTGGGGGGGTGTTTGGTGGCTGGGGGTGCGGGGGGTGTTTGGTAGCTGCGAGGGGGAGACGTGATGAGGTGGCCAGGGGTTCGGTCCCTGGCGAGTGAATTGACGCGCCTCGCTAGGATGCAGAAGGGTGTTTTCGCACCTTCGGGAGGATTGAAATGACACGCCAGTGTGGGCAAGGCGGTCGCACGTGCCACCGTCGACGATGTCATTTCCCGCCACACAGAAGCGACGTCGCGGGAGGTCCATCTGCGAGAGACTACTTAAGTCCTGCGCATCCCGAACCGTCTGTATGTCGTACGCGCCGCGAAGGTGTCTCCAGTACAGAAGCCCGCCGCGCTGGCTGCAAACCGCCCACAACAACGACAAAGTGGTGCAAGCCTGTTCGCCGCGGATCGCTGTGATCGTCGACCTTCTATTCTTCTCGCCGTCAGTTTTTTCGCCGCGGAGTACTCTCGCCGCCGTCTTCGTCCTTCTTTCTACCACTTGCACGTCGCGGAGTACGGAGGAGGACCGATCTTCTGTCTGCCACGTGCACGTCGTCGTCTTCTTCTAGCGGAGGACAGATCTCCTGTGTCGCGGTGGTGTCCATCGTCGTCACGTCTTCTTCCTGCGGAAGACAAATCTTTTGTCTACCACGTGCACGTCGTCGTCTTCTTCCCGCGGAATACAGATCTCCTGCGTCGCGGGGGTGTCCGTCGTCGTCACGTCTTCTTCCCGCGGAGGGCAGATCTTCTGTGTACCCTACACACGTCGTCGTCGTCACGCCAAAGCCGCACGGGAGACACTTTTCAGGGGAGACATATTTCCGGGAGATATATTTTCCGCCAGGTCGGCCACACTTCCCGCTCATCCGATCACACTGCCAAGCTCGCCTGCAAAGGTCGCCACGAAACATGTCTACGCGAGGGAACACCCGTGGGAAGAAGCGCGACGTGGTCGTTGACGACAACCAAGGGCAGGGAAGAGGGCGGTGGCAGGCCCCGAAAGCGAAGAGGCTGCGTACGGAAGATGCGTCAGCATGGGTGCCTTGTCGTGGAGCGCAAGGTTGGGTGGCGGCAGTAGAAGGGGACTACGACGATGAGTTCACGACGGAGGAGGAGCAGGCAGAGGTGACCACGTTTGAAGTACGAGAGAGCGGTCGGCAGCGCTCTTCAGATCACACCGCTTCGAAGAGGATGCTAACCCCGCCACCCGAGGCGCAGCAGCTGCGTGGCCGCGAAACTCGGACAGAGAAGGCTCCTGCCGTCGATCTTGGTGGCGATGATGACGAGCCCTTGGAGAGACGTCGCATTCGCATTCGTACAATAGCGACCCCACCGTCGGAGGTGGCTGTACGCGTTGCTGCAAACGAAAGGCCAGTCTCGGGTAGGCTGCCCGCCATGCCGTGTCAGCCACGTCAGCACAACAAGGGTGGTAATGGAGGGTCCGCCCAACGCGGCGGCGGGGGGGAAGTCGTGGCGGACGCGCGCACAGTTGGCGCCGAGGAGGGAGGTGCTGCGGGGGCGGGCGGTTCAGGCACTGTGGCCGCCGTTGCGATGGCGGGGGAGGAGGCACCAGTTGGGGTGACGGCGAGAGAGGAGGCGCGTGGCGAGAGGAAAGGCGATCGGGAGGCTGGCGAGCCCGGTTCAAGCCGGGTACATAGGAGTGTCATGACAAAAGACCTCATTGATCGTGCCGTCCTTTGGGTTGATGACAAAGCTTTCTGGACGACGGTGGAGGGGCGAAGACTGTACAACATCGTCCACGAGATGAGAGAGTACTTCGTCGCCATCGCCAGCGGTCTTCCACCGCCTACCGTCCCTCGGAGCGTCGTTCTCCCGAAATCCAGCACGCGTGTAGGTAGGATCGTCGACCAATCACAGCTACAGCAAGCGATCTCCTGTGCGGTGGCAGTGGAGAACGTGGGGCTGTGCATCTTGCACGGTTGGGTATTCAAGTCCGGGAACCGCCCGAGGGGATACCATATGGCTTTCCAGTACTCGCTGGAATCCTTTGCGACGAACATTGCGCGTGCTATGTGGTACGGCGAGGAGTGGTGCGACGTTGTCAGTCCGACAGTTTGCGCGCACACGATAGATCTGTCCATGGACCTGCCACTGTGGTTCGCCGGCGCCAACATCGAGGACAGACCGGACGACGACGACATGGCGGCGCACTAGGAGTCCACCGTCATCTGCGTCACGTATGCATTCCGCGCGGCGGTGCAAATGGGGGCGCTCATCGACGGCGACTTCATCTCGCACGAGCGTCTTTGTCGGGTGGCTGACTGCTTCAGGCTGTTGTTGGCGGCGTGCATGTGGATAATGCGCATGGCGGGAGACGATCCGCGCAGCCACTACGAGGCTTACTACTTCGCGGACCTCGTGGCGAAGCCCACACTCGTCGCGGCCATGCATCGCTCCTTTGATCATCGACGATCCGTCGTCCGCGCCGCGAAAGTCGTCACAGAGAGGCTCGGGAAGGCGAAAGCTACGTTCGGACAACACCCCGACTACATCCCTCATTGGGCACCCTGCGACATTGGTTTCAGGCACGACGCGAGCATCACGGGGCCGGAGGATGCGAAGAAGCTGGATTGGTTGGGTTCGGGCCCCCCCGATGATGACAACAACAATGACGGGAAAAATGACGCGTAGGGGGGTAGGGGGGTGGGGTGGGGTGGGGTGGCGGGCGCATGTGCAAGTGGCTGGTCGTGATGGGCTTCACTGGGGTTGCACCGTCGCAAAGTGCGCACTTGTTTAGTGTGTCGGCGAGAGGGATTCCGCGGAATCGTCCTCGCTTGTGCAGTTGTTTAGCACGTCGGCTTTGCCACGAAGACGGGTTGATTGTGTTCAATGGTGTGTGTTGCGTTTCGTGTAGGTGTTCAGCGTGTCGGTCGTTGGAGTCGATGACGAGATCATTCAATGTCGTCGTGTATTGTGTTTTTATATTCGTAGTTCGCTGCGCGACAAGTTTATAGCGCTTTAAGCGCACTCTTTTTTTTATGTGATGTGTCCGTTGTTCTTGTGTCTTCTATGGAATGATTTAAAGATGATTGCAGATGATTGCCTCCTATGCATGCGCGCAATCCAGGTTCATGTATCTCTGTTTTTTTTGTGTCGTAGTAAGCTAACGTTAAGCAGCTTGCATCAACAATTTGAAAACCCATCTTTGACGTCACGCTAGAGAAGCAAATGAAAACATTCGCGACAAACGATTTGAAGAGACACACAAAAACAAATGAGCAAGGAATTGAGGACACATATAAAAAAAAGAAAAAAAGTTCCCATCACACCGAACCATTCGAGACATGCGATGTGAAGACAAACATAAAAAAAATATATATATAAAAAAAAAAAAAAAAAATTTAAAAAAACAACAACCGAGAGAGACACAAAAAAAAGGTTCTTCCAATATCAAACGTTTGTACAACTGTACGAACCACGCAACCGTCCACACGACGAAAACAAGAAAGGAAGTCACAGACGACAACCATGCGGCCATAGAATTGACCCTGCGACTTTGCGCACGACGTCAATGGACGCGGGCCACGTGTCAATTCCGCCCGCCTGCCGATAGCACCAACCCACGTGCTATCGCCCCCTACCCAACCCCCCTTCCCCTCCACCTCCCATCCGCACGGTCCTACATCAGAGCTAGGCGGTCTCGACGTGCATCCCGCAACAACTCCCCGTCCACGTTCGTGCTCCGTCGCTACCTGCCCACGCCGTTCCCCACAATGGCCAAGTCTAATCTACGCCGAATGCCGTTCTCATCAACCTCCCACAAAAGGTTCTCATCGAAGTCGATCCCCGCATCAAGGAGGATGTTGTGGAGAGTGCAGACAACCACGAATTGTTGTGGCAAGGTCTCTAGGTTCGTCTTGTGGGTGCGCAAGAACAGACGCCACATGCACTTCAGCCGCCCAAATGCCCTCTCCACACACCTACGCGCCACCTTCTGCCGAGTGTCGAAGCGCTCCTCGTCACGATCTTGATCGATTCCTCCATACGGCTGCACGATCCATGGACAGGCAACTGGATAACCGTTGTCGCCTAGCAGGGAACCTCGCGTGACGACACCGTGCGACAGATTCTCCGGAGGTGCGTCGAACAGCTCGCCAGCTTCTGCACGCCTCCACAATTGGGAATTGTACAGGACACGGACATCGTGCACACTTCTCGGGTATCCGATGTGGACGTCGAGGATCCGCAGATCCAAATCTCCCACCACCTGCGCCTGCACGGAGAACTTCTGTTTGTGGTCGTAGTAGTTATCCGAAGGTGCGCCGGCGAGCTTATCAATGTAGATGTGTGTACAGTCGATCGAGCCGAAGCAGTTCGAGAAACCCTTGTCACGGAATGCGCGCAGAATCTGCGCACGTCTACGCCCAACTGGCCACTTGATGGCGTCGGGGTACGCCTGCAGCAGCGCCGAAGTGACGTCGCGGACCGCCTGCAGTCCAGTTGCCCTGCCAATGCCGAAGGCTGACGTGCCGCTCTCGTACGTCTCTCCTGACGCCCACCTGTACAACGCGAAAGCGATCACCTGCTCCACTGGCAATGGCATCCTATAGTGCGTCACCTTCTTCTCCACGTACGCGGCGCACGCGGCTACGATCTGCCTGAACATGGCCATCGACATGCGCAACTTCTGCCGGTAGTACTCGTCCGTCGCGTTATCACAGAGGCGGAGATCCTCCCATGTTCCGCCAGTCCGTCGTTTAATCCACCAACGCGGGGTCTGCCGCGGAAAAACGCCAGATGACAGCGCGACACACAACTGGACGGCTGCCTCACACGTGGCCACACAATCCGGGGCTTCGGCAATGCGCTGCAACAACGCTCTTCGTTTTCGGAGCTGCGTCAGCATGTCGCTTGAGGACGACGACATGCCGCCCATTGTGTTCACGACGACGGCAGTAACCGCCATTGCCACCTCGTCGATCTCCTCTTCGTGCACACCGTGCCCGCTGCCGCAAACGTCCATCTCTGGGAATCGTTCTGCCCCCACAGCGTGACGCCTGCCACAGCCGCCGAAGACACGCCGCTGCTGAACCAAGCGAAGAGAGACCACGCACGCCGGACCCGTAGATGCGCCCGCTGACGTACGCTGCAATAGGAGATGGCGTACGCCGGAATTGACGACGCGCCCGCTGCTCCACTCTTGCACAGGACAGCACACACGGCGGAGGTGAAGATGCGCCTTGCCGGAAGTTGCCCCCGCTGGTCACAACTTGCGTGGAGTCGGAAGATGGATACCTGCGCCGAATGGTTCGCCAACGCCGTCTTCTGTACGTCAACCACTTCGCCTGACCGTCCTCCGCCCCTGCAGCCTTGCGTCCGCGAGAATCCGAATTTGAATTTTTGAAGTTCGGGGTGACCGCGCTTTTCACCCACCCCTCCTCACCCGCCCAAGGCCTCCGCAGTGTGTACCACGAACACCAGCCAGGACCCGACGGACATCGACGACGCGGCTGCATATACGAATATGAGAACGGGCCGCGGGAGACCTTTTAGGACGAATCCTAAAAGATGATTTTTAGGACTGCGTGTAACGACGCCGCACGAAATCCTAAAAAACCCTTAGGGCTCGTCCTAAAAAATTTAGGATTCTTTTAGGAGTGTCTAACGAGACCCTAATTCACCAAATCCCTTGAACGAATGTGAAAATGCTCTCAAGAGATTTCCTTGGGTTCCTCGGAATCCCCAGCCAAAACGTCCTTGGATTCAAGGGGTCCTCGTGAGGTGCCTTGGGCTCAACGAGTGGCGATTGACGGATCATCGAGAAGTATGCGTCGACACCAAAATTTGGAGTTTTCCGTGGGGCACAGATCATCCGTTGCCCATCGGGCGGACACCGCCGGCCTCCAGTGGGCGACGGGCCCCCAGTGGCGTTGTGTCGTTACCGTTGGCGCGTAAAGGCGTGGGGATGGTTCTTCAGCTCCGAGGCGGTTCATGAGGGGGGCTTCTCGTTGTGCGCATCGTCGGGCGTGGTGTCCAACGGTCGACTTTTTCAATTTTTTTACCGCCTACGTGTGAGTAGTGCCGACCGACTGCGGTTCTCCGTGGCACCGTGCATTGTCAGCCATTGATAGGCGCACGGGAGCAAGCTTTGGTCGATGCACTCCTCGCCTGCTGCGATTCATGGCAGACGTCCTCCGGCGGGTCCCGCTCCTGCTGCTGGCCACTCTTTCCCTGGCAGTGCTCCTTGTCATCTTGTTGCTCGTCTGTGTCGTTGTGCGGGGTCCGGGAAGCAGACGGAAATGACGCACGACGAGGAAGGCGATGATGGAAAGGGGGGAAACCTCCAGCAAACTGCACAGATGTGTGATCGACTTCTCCAGTCGAGACCCGGCGGTAGCGGCACGTTGTACAGTAATCTGCCACCACACGAGCAACCGTTACCGCCGGATCCGGAAGAGGAATGGCTGGAGGATCTGTCCCACACTGCCTTTGGGGAGCGGATCTACGCAGGACTGGATGGGGACCCATTGTCGACAAAGGGAGGCAGAGAGAAGTCGTCAGTCGTTCTCAGCAATGCCGGAGGAGGGTATCGACGGAGGCGAGATGGAGATTGTGGACTTGGATTTCGGCTTGTCAAGCGAGATTGCTGCACCGGTTACGAACATTTGTGCATCGAACCACGTCGCCGCCACGACCGTGGGACAAACGTCTGTGCATGAGGTGGGAGTGGCGGGCCGTTGTGGAAGGTCCTGTCCGGTGGGTGGCAGCACAGATTGGTGTCGTTCGACGCCCTCCTCTCGAGGCGCGGGAACATTTGGTGACAAGGCGAGGGCAGTGTTACCCCCCCACTCGGCAACGTCTTCGCCTACACCACGCCGGAGGGTGACCGCGCCGGCGCCGAACACGAGCACTACCCCGCTGGAAGAAATTGGCAGGCAGGTATGGGAGTCCTGTCGCCAACAGATGCGCAGACCGACCGTTGAGAACATAACGAACGGGATGTCTAGGATGCGTGTGGGAAGCGATGCTGATGCGGACGACACCCGGAGGGCGAGTGGTGACAAATCTTCAAATTTTCATTGCGAGGACGACGCGGAAGATGCGAAAGAGTTGGAGATTCGACACTTGGGTGTGCGTGGTAGAGCGAGGGGTGGATGTGGGCGTCAACAGAAGGCCGTATCCCGTGGTGGTCGAGTATTGAAGGCTCCTGCAGGCGAGAAGGGTGGCAAACATCCGACTTGGAGTGTTGAGGAGATGTTGAAGCTTGATCGGGCGAAGCGGGATCAGCAAGCTCATTTCGATGGAATGCCGCACAACTACGGGCACATGCGCAACTGGGAACGGAAGCCGCGGGACCTGCAAAAGTGTTTGGTGGAGGTGGGCGTGAAGAGGACGACCGACGGTATCGGGAAGAAGTGGGATAACCTCTTCCAACATATAAGAAGGTGCAACGATACCAGAATGCCTCCAGGGGGAAGAACTTCTTCAACTCAATGCCTGCGTAGGCTGCGTTGAGAACGGAAGATGGCTTCAACTTTCGAATGGATGAGCGAGTGTACATTGAGATCGACAATATGTCTCGATGCAATAAAACCATCTACCTAGACAACCTCGCCAACACGAGCGCCCGTAGAGAAGTGCAGATGCCGTGGACTCGCAACGTCCACCATCGGTTGCAGGAGAATCCATCGCCAAGGGAGATGCGGGTGATGACAACGACGAAGATGGAGGGTCGGTGCAGGAGTCCGGGTTCAGTGTAAGCAGCACAGGCGGGGCTGACAAGAGGAAGAACATACACCAGCAGACGTTCGACGCCATCGCTGAAGTCATGGAGAAGCCTGATGCATTGATGGCAAACACTGTGGAGGGGGCAAGCAAGCGGCAGTGTCCAACCCTGGAGCGAGAGTGCGACATACTCGAGCGTGAGGTCGACGCTCAGAAGCGACACTATGAGGCGTCCGACGAGGCGAACATGGTGATGTGCATTGCATTGTTGGAGATCGCGAAAACCATCAGAAACAAGTCTTAATGCCGCCTCAGCTCTGCGGCCGGTCGTCATGTCGATACATGTGTTGACGTTACATCCCTTGCTTGTTTTCCGTCGGTGCCGCAATGATGGCGCAGAGTCCGCACGTCTTCCTTCAATGGGCGTGGTTCATGGCATAGTAGAGGGTTGGATTGTTCACGTAGTTGAAGGATTGTGGCCCATGACATTACTGGGAGTTTGAGTGTTTGTTTGCCACAATATATATATAAATATATATAAATATATATATATACATCGGCGTCAATTCCTTGTTTCGCCTGAGGCCTGTCTTCCACGACGCGAGGAGTTCATTGTCCGTTCTATCACTATAGACATGTGCTATCTTCACAGGCGCGTCCGTCGGTGACATAGTACGCGAACGCTTCACGATCTGTCCGTTCCCCACCGTCCACGCCACGTGGCAGACTCACATCGCCTTCATTTGTATGACGGGCGAGATCGATCGTTAGCACATGGGGCCACGTGGACAGTCACAATTGAAAATGCGAAACAACAGATCCGGCGAGGGTGGAGAAAGCGGAAAGGGGCACGTCCAAAAGTAAAAATAATTGTGCAGTCGGAGGGTGCGATGGGGATCAGGGGGGTGACCACAACAAAAAAATTTCCCTGAATTAAATAATCATTCTATACTAAAATTACATTCTAAATTTTAAATTTTCATTCCATCTTAAAAAATGTCATTCAAATTTAAAAATTTTCCGTCTTATTTGAAAATTTTCCTTCCTCGAATCGGGTATCCCTTCTTATTTGAACTGAATGCTAGAGATGGAATGAAAGTCTGGATGATTTCATGAAATATTTTAATTGGACTGTCGTTCTAAGTAAGGATTTTCAGTCAAAAATAAGGTCATCCAATCTAAATTAGAAGATATTTGTTGTAGTAAAATGAAAGTTTAATTAAAACATTTCATAAACTCATCCAGACTTTCATTCTATCTTGAACAAATAGATGTAGTTGGAAGGGAAAACTCATATTTAGACAGGAACTTATCAAATAAAACTGAAAATTTTAGAATTGGACGAACATTGGAATGATAATTTATATATATGAAGGATTTTTCTTTTATGGAATATTTTTTCAACTTTCATTTCTCGTGGGAATTTTTCTGTTGCATGGGGACTTAAGAAGGGATTATAATTATCTTGTTTTCCATGTCTGGTCAACCTTGGACCCTTCCATACCACTCCACCCTCTTTCCATCAATCGAAGGAGTGACCGATAACAGGTCTACTGCCGTCTTCAATCCCAAATAGAACGATTGGGAATAATGGTCGAATGTGGACTGGAAGTTGCACCAAATACAACAACTATAATGAGTGGGCGTTCTATTGGGGTGAAGACAGTAGGGAGGGATGCTTAAAAAAAATAATAATGGAGCCAGATCCCATGGACTGCTACTGCCCATGCAGACTTTGTAAGGCGTCTTGGAATTGTAAGGCCCAAAATTCGGCGAATTTTGGCGAATTTTTCACCGAAACTGTCATATTTCCCTGAATTTTTACTATTTTCTTAGTTTTTCTTTTTGCCTGTTATATATGTGTTTTAGGGTATATCTGTATTCAATTTCGCGGTATTTGAAGCAGTAACAAAAAACTTAGCAAAAACACCAGACTCGAAAAAAACTTTGGCGAACTCCGGAAGCTACTCCGAATAGGGATTTATAGTGCTCTTGAGTTTGATTTTTTCGTTGTTTTTTTGCCTGATTGTTTTTTTGATATTTGTATTATGACCCTGCATAGTTTGTTCGCAAAAGTGTCCACAACATTGCTGGTAGCGACGCGGCGAAAACCCCCGAATTTTTGGCCTTCCATTAACTGCTAGTGCCAACCCACCGACCTGCCCACCCATCCGAGGACTCGGACTTACACGTGTAATGGACACAATCTTGAGAACCTCACAATTTCATCACCACCACGAAATCAAGGTTTTTGAACTCTTGGTAACTGCACTGACATTTTGGCTGTGTGCAGGATTTGTGGCAGTGTTTGATTCCTAAGAAAACTTTGACTCTGTTACTACTTTACCCGAGTTGAGCCTGATTGTTAACTTTCCCAAAGTCTACCCCTGGTTCAGGAGGGCACGGGCGCTCTGAGTCGGATCCTTTTTTGGTCCAGTACCTTTTGACACCCTTATAAGGCTGTAGATGTGACTTTTGACCTTGGAACATTGAATGGCCAAACGGTACGTCCCTAGATTTGTTCTTTTTGAATATCGAACTATGTTGTTTGCAATCACAAGATCAAGAATGTCCTCACATGATTGCATGATATGGGGACCCCTTGACTTTCTTACAGCCAGCGTGACCTCATTGGGTATCTGTTGAGACCATCTGGGCGTTTGCCTTAGTGATCGCCACATGTTCTTCTGAAGTTATTCCATCTCCCTCGTCTCGGGGATCTGGTATCTTCTCGTCTATCTTGATTCCCAGGCGGAAAGGAGTAGCGTCGATTTCCTTAGTGGGTTCCGAAACCTCAGCTTCAACACCTCGGCCAATCATCCACATTTCCTTGCAAGCTGTACGTAACGATTGGGGGGTTAGCTCGGTGACGTCACAAAAGGACTTCTTGTCAAGATAACGGGGCATCAACGGGGTAATAGTGTTGTACAAGGTTCGAGGGGGTTCCAAAGTGTTTGACAACCTTGAAACCTGCACAAGCGGTTTTCCCGATTTTCCTTTACGCTGGGCCTTCGATTGTGACCACGAGGGTCTTGGCTGTATTCAGCTGCATCGAATAACACTGTATCTTAAATGTCAACTTCTCAATGACTTTAGCTACCTCGGGGTCTTCTTCGCTTTCTGAGTCAGTGTGGGGCAGACCATAAAACCCGTTGTCGTTCCTCTCTGGGCCCTCTCTCAGGCTCGTGTCATATGATGAATCCTCTGAGTCTGAGGTGGGCAGGATTGCCTGGATACAGCCGACGATGGTGGGAGGGGTGTCTCGAGGTTTGCTTGGGACCGTGCGGAGCGTATGCTGCAGGGGAACACTGTATGGTTTGCCTCCGGTATTTCTTACAATCGTCGCCCTGCGTTCGAAATCCAAATAAGCCTGGAATACGATGAGGGCAGTCAACCCGACAAACATGTCGTACGTTGTTACATTTAGGGCAATCACCTCCCCTAAAGCATGCACTTTCTCAAGTCGGAATGCTACATTAGTCATTCTACAAGCGACCTTGATTTTCCCCTCATTGGCCGAGAGGTACTGATCTCCTTCCGGGAGCTGGATCAAATCCTTCCTCCGTCCGTCCATCTCGATCAATTGAAGATACAAAACTATGATGGCCGCTCAAGAATCATTGACAGCACTGTAAGGTGTAGCCTAACCTTCCAAATCACACTCAACTGACTTTCAGAGGATGGGCTTGATGCTCATGAAGTGGTCGTCTCCCCGGATCAAGCTCGGTCGGGGCGGCTCGGTACTGCTGACCCTTTTTTTTTTTAAAACAAACCCAACTGAAGTCATTAGGAATGGTGATTAGAGCAACCATTCCTAATCCCCTTGTTGAGACTCCAGTCTGTTGGTGGGGGTTAACACCTGCTGAAAACCAGGTTCGACGTCCCTTATACAGAACATAAAAATGTTAATCATTACAATTTTACTATGAACCAGTAGGATCAAACCACCTCTTCAGTCCTAAATTAACCGCCATAAAGGGCATGCACATCTAGCAGTTTTATCCCTTTTGATAATGAGGATTTATTCTTTATTGTTCATCCCCCCTCCACCAAACCACCGAAGTTCCACTAAACCTAGCTCCGAGGGGGGGAACAGTTCAAAAAAACATGCAGCATCTTTGAAGAGCTCCCCTGGTTTAATATCAAACCAATTATTAAACTGCAAAAGGTAACTCTTTTTGAGAGGCAACACTGACTCATTCTCATCAGGCCATACCACCTGTCCCATACCCTGTTCCTATGATCTCCCTAACTAGTCCATTATGAATTTGATAATACATTTCTTAATGTCTTTCTTCTGAGTTAGAAATTTTAATTTGCCTTTAAGATTGACCCATTGGGCTCTAACCTCTATTTCCACGAATTGCTTGACATTCTGAAAACATTCCACCCTTCCATACGTACATTTTTCATTACATATACACATCTCCTTTGCCATATGGCCCATATGATAGCTTTTCTACCGAGACAAAATATATTTGACTGAAAGGTTGAAAGGGACAAGTCTACTTGATCCCAATGGCCAGTAAAAAAAGACTCCATTCCCAAGGCCACTCGAGGCCAGTTAATCTTCGGCATATATAGTCACATTAACGCCACATAAGGATGGTCCCTGATCACTGAGTGAAGATGTGTTCAATGGTTTCACGATATTTACGTGAAGAGAATGCTATGCGGCAAAAACGATACCATGGTAACACTACTCCTTTCTGTTCTAATGTTGAGTGGTATATTAGCCAGTTATTAGTTGGAGGACATTTATTTATAATCTACCATTGAAGTGAAGCAAATTCGGCTGGTCTTTCCTTGCTAGATCGAAACCATCGTACTGTACGAAACTGATCTATATGAGTGTTGAGATGTCTCACCCATCTCAAGCTATCTTGCACCACTGCTGGAACATCGACTTTGAGCCTCAACAATCGATAGGCTGCCTTGACAGTCAGGTATTGAAGTGTTCAAGGTTCACCCTTCTTCGAAACCTGCCATGTTCACTCCTCAGGGTCCAGTGGGAGCTTTGCTATAGGGATTTCAGGGTAATAGGCCCGCCATCGACAAAGTAATGTGTGGATAGGTACTGTGTGGTGAATAACACGAATTTTGTATAACAATTTACTTGGCACTCACTCCACCTTGTCAGGATTATACCTAGCCAAGAAATTATCTTGTTGTAGACGATAAATATTCATCATTGCTCCATTCTGATATTGACATACCACTTGACCTATTATCCATATATTACTAGAATCATATCTTGCCACCCAATCAGAATCATGCAAGTGACATCCTTTCCTTAGTGTTTTTACCCAAATGAACGGAATGGAGAAAACTATTTGGTCCAACATTTCAGATAAGTGGTGTGCATACCTTAGAGTGAATCTGAGTTGCTC